ACGGGGAGGGTGGAGGGCATGTGGTCTGAGCCTCCTGTGTCCCGGAGCACGGGGAGGGTGGGCACTCAGGGGCAGCAACACTCCATCCCGATACACGTACAGTAGGGCTATGTCTACACTGGCAGGTAGTTGCGCCAGAAGTATGCAAATGAAGCTAAGCCTAGAATATCACCAAGCCTAATTTGCATACCTAATGAGCCGCCATTTTTGCGGAAGAGGCTCTTGCGCTAGAAGGAGCTGTCTACACTGCCCCTTCTGGCGCAAGAAAAACCCTCTTGTGCAATGCCGCTATTCCTGAAAATAATCAGTGTAACGGCGTTGCGCACGAGGGCTTTTCTTGCACAAGAAGGGGCAGTGTAGACAGCTCCTTCTAGCGCAAGAGCCTCTTCCGCTAAAATGGCGGCTCATTAGGTATGCAAATGAGGCTCGGCGATATTCCACGCTTAGCCTCATTTGAATACTTCTGGCGCAACAACCCACCAGTGTAGACATAGCCCAGGGGTTCTGGGTGGGGCCAGGCTGGTGGTTTTGGAAAGCCATGGCTTCCCCCGCACCGCCAGGTATCCAGTTAACACTGGTGAACAGACACTAAAAATCCAGTCACTGCAGGAACCTAGGGCAGCCATGGGCAGTGGGTGAAGGTAGGGCTGGGGGAGGCAAGCCCTCAGCCCCACCACTTCTGCCCAGGCCCTGCCCCCCCATGGGAGCCATGAGCCCCCCTATTCAGAGCACCATCAGGAGGAGGGGTGGCATGCGGCCCCAGCCTCCCTGACCCTGGAGTACACGGGGAGGGTGGAGGGCATGTGGTCTGAGCCTCCTGTGTCCCGGAGCACGGGGAGGGTGGGCACTCAGGGGCAGCAACACTCCATCCCGATACACGTACAGTAGGGCTATGTCTACACTGGCAGGTAGTTGCGCCAGAAGTATGCAAATGAAGCTAAGCCTAGAATATCACCAAGCCTAATTTGCATACCTAATGAGCCGCCATTTTTGCGGAAGAGGCTCTTGCGCTAGAAGGAGCTGTCTACACTGCCCCTTCTGGCGCAAGAAAAACCCTCTTGTGCAATGCCGCTATTCCTGAAAATAATCAGTGTAACGGCGTTGCGCACGAGGGCTTTTCTTGCACAAGAAGGGGCAGTGTAGACAGCTCCTTCTAGCGCAAGAGCCTCTTCCGCTAAAATGGCGGCTCATTAGATATGCAAATGAGGCTCGGCGATATTCCACGCTTAGCCTCATTTGAATACTTCTGGCGCAACAACCCACCAGTGTAGACATAGCCCAGGGGTTCTGGGTGGGGCCAGGCTGGTGGTTTGGGAAGGCAATGCCTTCCCCTGCCTATTATACCTGTTGTCCCTGGGGCCAGCCGTGGGTGTGGTCTGAGCAGGCATTGCACTCTGACCTCCCCAGAGCTTCCACCCCGGTTTCTCTAGAGCTCTGCTTAGCTGCCCTGCACAGCCTCAGTGCCTGCACCCCCACCTCCCACCAGAAAGCAGGGCAATTTTAGTGGTGCCCTGTGCAGCTGCGTATGCCTAAAGAGGGGAGGATCGAGGCTCCCTATATCCCCTCCTTGGCTGAGGCTGACAAGGCAGCTCCAGGACACTGCCTCCTGCGTCCTCGTGCTCTGTGTGCGCTGGGTCCCATTCTAGGCAGCTGCTGAGTGCCTAGGTGGGGGGCAGAAGAGGGAGAGGCAGTAGCAGAGCAGTAGGGAAGCTTGCTCTGAGCCTGCACACTATCCAGCTCTAGCCAAAACGATCCCTCCTACCCCATCCCAAATATAAGGAATGAATTCCCACACATTTGCAAGAAAAACAAAACCGAATATCCCATTCTGGATACCGGAACTTAAATTCTGCAGAACCGTCCATCGAGGCACTTCAGATTTGTGATGCACTGTGTTCAACACTGTTTTGAACTTTGACCCCTTTACACAGCCAGAGCAGTGTTAGAGTCTCCGTGTTAGTGAAAATCGGGCCCTTTGGTTCTCAAAGTTACAGGACGTGCTGCATTTCTGTCCTCCCCCTGCCCTCTCTGGGCATGTCTACACTAGGAGATTATTTTGAAATAAATAATAACTCCTGAAATAACTATTTGGAAATAGTGCGCCCACAAGGAGATCTTGAATGATCTCAAAATAAAAAAGGAGTCCTATAAAAAATGGAAACTAGAACAAATAACAAAGGATGAATATAGGCAAGCAACATGGGAATGCAGGGGCAAGATTAGAAAGGCAAAGGCACAAAATGAGATCAAACTAGCTACAGGCATAAAGGGAAACAAGAAGACCTTTTATAAATACATTAAAAGCAAGAGGAAGACCAAGGACAGGGTAGGCCCACTGCTTAGCGAGGAGGGAGAAGCAGTAACAGGGAACTTGGAAATGGCGGAGATGCTCAATGACTTCTTTGTTTCAGTCTGCACCGAGAAGTCTGATGAAGAAATGCCGAACAGTGAATGCTAGTGGGAAGGGGGTAGGTTTAGAAGATAAAATAAAAAAATAAGTTAAAAATCACCTAGAAAAGTTAGATGTCTGCAAGTCACCAGGTCCTGATTAAATGCATCCTAGAATACTCCAGGAGCTGATAGAGGTGGTATCTGAGCCTTTAACTATCATCTTTGGAAAATCATGGAAGACAGGAGAGATTCCAGAAGACTGGAAAAGGGCAAATATTGTGCCCATCTATAAAAAGGGGAATAAGAACAACCCAGGAAACTACAGACCGGTCAGTTTAACGTCTGTCCCAGGGAAGATAATGGAGCAGGTAATTAAGGAAATCATATGCAAACACTTGGAAGGTAATAAAGTGATAGGGAATAGCCAGCATGGGTTTGTGAAGAACAAGTCATGCCAAACTAATCTGATACCTTTCTTTGATAAGATAACGAGCCTTGTGGATAAGGGAGAAGCGGTGGATGTCATATACCTAGACTTTAGTAAGGCATTTGATACGGTCTCGCATGATATTCTTATTGATAAACTAGGCAAATATAACTTAGATAGGGCCACGATAAGGTGGGTGCATAATTGGCTGGATAACCATAGTCACAGAGTTGTTGTTAACGGTTCTAAATCCTGCTGGAAAGGGATAACAAGTGGAGTTCCGCAAGGGTCTGTTTTGGGACCCGTACTGTTCAATATCTTCATCAATGATGTAGATATTGGGATAGAGAGTACGCTTATTAAGTTTGCAGATGATACCAAACTGGGTGGGGTTGCAACTTCTTTGGAGGAGAGGGACATAATTCAAAATGACCTTAGCAAGTTAGAGAAATGGTCAGAGGTAAACAGGATGAGGTTTAATAAAGAGAAATGCAAAGTGCTCCACTTAGGAAGGAACAATCAGTTCCATACATACAAGATGGGAAGCGACTGTCTAGGAAGGAGCATGGCAGAAAGGGATCTAGGGGTCATAGTGGACCACAAGTTGAATATGAGTCAACAGTGTGATGCTGTTGCAAAAAAAGCAAATATGATTCTAGGTTGTATCAACAGGTGTGTTGTAAGCAAAACTCGTGAAGTCATTCTGCCGCTCTACTCTGCACTAGTTAGGCCTCAGCTGGAGTACTGTGTCCAGTTCTGGGCGCCACATTTCAAGAAAGATGTGGAGAAATTGGAAAGGGTACAGAGAAGAGCAACAAGAATGATTAAAGGTCTAGAGAACATGACCTATGAAGCCAGGCTTCATGAACTGGGCTTGTTTAGTTTGGAAAAAAGAAGATTAAGGGGGGACATGATAGCGGTTTTCAAATATCTAAAAGGGTGTCACAAGGAGGAAGGAGAAAATTTGTTCCTCTTGGTTTCTGAGGACAGGACAAGGAGTAATGGGCTTAAAGTGCAGCAGGGGAGGTTTAGATTGGACATTAGGAAAAAATTCCTAACTGTCAGGGTGGTCAAATATTGGAATAAATTGCCAAGGGAGGTGGTGGAATCTCCCTCTCTGGAGATATTTAAGAACAGGTTAGATAGACATCTGTCAGGGATGGTGTAGACAGAGCTTGATCCTTGCTCCCTTAATGTGGACAGGCTACCTCGAGTTAGAGCCCCAGGAAGCCCTGGAGAGTAATTACTCTGAATAACTCTGGGGAATAGTTATTTCGAAATAGCAGCAGTGGAGCATCCATGCTACCGCTATTTTGAAATAAATATTTGAAATAAGCGTTATTCCTCGTGGGAGGGAGGGAATAGTCATGAGTCAATGAAATAAATAGTTTTTCCCTCCTTCCCTCTCCCTCACCCCACCTTCTGTACTAAATCTGATTTGTCCGTTTAATAATGTGTTCACTTTTTTCATTGCATTCCTTTGGTATATATTTGCAGAATTGGGGACTAGATTATTAAACCCTGGAAAATTATTTAAAATATCAAATGTTCTTTGTGGTGTTTACTTTTTGTAAGAACCTTTTCTTGGAAATTGAAACTTTTTCTCTTGTTTGACCCTTTGCTACCATAATTCTGTAGTTGTTGGTTTGTAAAAGCTCCAGAGAAATGTTAAAATGAAATCAATATTAATCTGCATTCATAGAACCATATCAAATCATACAACCTGCAAACTCAATCTGGGATTTGAATATCGACAGGGCTATTTCTTTCCAACATATTGTTGTTAATGTTTCTGCAAGAAAAATGCTGTATTTAGTGTCATCTGTACAACACCATGTAACTTGTGTCAGTTATACCTCATCGCCTCATTCTGCCCTCAGAATACCTGTATAACCCCCAGTCTTCAGATATGCCCTTAGTTACTTATATACAATCCCTTTGCCTTGCCTTTGAGGATAATACATCTGTAACTGTAGTCAGAATCCGGTGTACATTATCCTTCTTGGTGATCATAAGGCCTATAAAGAATTGATATTTACTTCCCAGGCTGAATTTGCTGGCAATTTGGGGGGGTGGGTTGTTCTTGTAAACTAAGCACATTAACAGAATATTACTCTGAGACTTTACACATACACTTGTCATTTGTAATTAGTAACCATATATTGGTATTGTCTTTAATCAGGCCACAGATAAGTGAAGAGCTCAAAGAACTGATTCTTAGGATGCTGGATAAAAATCCAGAAACAAGGATAACGGTTCCTGAGATTAAGGTAAATTTGTCATGAATGTTGTATTTATTTGAAATTGGTTTATATAGTCTTATTTCATACTTTTATATTACTGGTAATGTGACAAACTGTTGCCAGTATTTTTGTTCTGGGGATTTATCAATCAGGATAGCCCAAAGGGTGAGTATATTCACTTTGCTACAAGTTTGTATGACTTTAAATCACTCTGGTGCTGTTTATTTTTGAAAATATGAATAAAAAGGGATTTTTAAGTACAATTGGTCAAAATCTGAGTAAAACACTGGCCGTCTTTCCCAGAAACACTTGTGTAATTGATACCTCCGCTTTTCACTGAAATTGCTACCTCTAGTGATCCAGCCTGATTCCTCTAGCAGACATAGATGTGTGTTGCAGGGACTATGAAGCTGAATGCTATATGCGTACACACTTGTTGTTCATACCATGCTGGCTGCTGTTATAAATGCAGCCGTGGGATCAAGGCATGTAGCATCCATTTCTGTCGATATTACCTGAATCATTGTTCTGCAAGGCACATGAATCCAGAGCAATAAATGCTCCTTGCTGCTTTGTAATTTAGTTTCAGGACTGATTCCATTTTCTGTCCTTGAGACGTCTCATCTATTTGAAAAGAAACAAAAAAATAAAGCCAGGGAGGGGGCGGATTGACTGTATCTACTTTCACCTAATTTGCATCTTGGATGCATCACTCTTGTTGTTCACAGTTATTTAGATTTAATTGTTTTTAAACTTACTTTGGAATTGCTGTTAACAAAAAAAAATCAAGCCAATTATATGGAGGAGAACTTGAGGAAATTGCTGTTTCTCAACCATCTCACTGCCCAGAATACACTTGTCTCCTAATTGAAATGCTAACACAACTCCGGTATTCCACACTTTTAATAAGAAGGATTTCATTTTTTTGCTTCTGAAGAGGTTGTTATAAGCACGAATAAGCATCTTCAGAATACACAATTTAATTAAGTGCCGTGAAGAAGCTCTTTGCTGAGCTCTTGGAAAATGCTCTGGACAGCGGCACTAAACTCCTTTTATAGCTTGTAGGCCATGAGCATGGGTCTTACTGAATGTGAGGACTCTTCCCCAGGAGGTAGGCAAGTATATCTTACAACGACACTGGATGCTGTTCTGATTGACAGCCATAGGGGCCGGTCCTGGGACAAATACAAATACATTGATTTCAAAGAGCCCTACTCGAAACCCCTTGTATTATGCAGAACATTAGACCACTGTTAGGCATAGGCCTCTCATGCCCTGAACTGGCCCTTGTAGTCAAGAAGGCGAATGGAATATTAGGTTGTATTAGGAGGCGCATTGCCAGCAGATCTAGAGAAGTGATTATTCCCCTTTATTTAGCTGTGGTGAGGCAACATCTGGAGTATTCTGTTCAGTTCTGGGGCCCCCACTACAGAAAGGATGTAGGTGCATTGGAGAGAGTCCAGCAGAGGGCAACCAAAATGATTAGGAGGCTTGAGCACGTGAGCTAGGAGGAGAGGCTGAGGGATTTGGGCTTATTTAGTCTGCAGAAGAGGAGGGGGGATTTAATAGCAGCCTTCAGCTTCCTGAAGGGAGGTTCCAAAGAGGCTGGAGAAAGGCTGTTCACAGTAGTGACGGATGGCAGAACAAGGAGCAATGGTCTCAAGTTGCAGTGGGGGAGGTCCAGGTTGGAAATTAGGAAACATTATTTCCCTAGGAGGGCGGTGAAGCACTGGGATGGGTTCCCTAGGGGAGGTGATGGAGTCTCCATCCCTAGAGGTTTTTAAGTCTCGGCTTGACAAAGCCCTGGCTGGGTTGATTTAGTTGGGACTGGTCCTGCTTTGGGCAGGGGGCTGGACTTCATGACCTCCTGAGGTTGCTTCCAGCCCTATGATTCTATGATTTACATGGCAGTATGAGGCAATGCTAATTTAATTACAAGATGATCTAGTAAGCCATGTGGTTATTAAACTAGAGGAGCATGGAGCATCCCAGAAAGGTGAAGTGTCCTCTTGGGAAGGAAAGGGAGAGAACTGCTGGAAGATGCAGGTGCCTCAGGCTCCTAAACCACATAGAAGCCACTCCTGTGGCGTTTAGTTATATCCTAAGGAAAGAGGACACATCCTCAGACAAGCCTCCTTCTTGTCTCTCTGTCATCTGTGCCTCCTTCCACTGCTGCCTCCTTATCCAACAGTCCCCTAGCTTGCAGTGTGATCCATCTGCCCCAAAGATCCCCCTATGTTGGGTAAACAAGTTCCTCAGCTAGAAGGGAGTAGGAAGGTGGCTCTGGTTTATGATTGATATAGCATGAGCATCAGTCTGTGTAACATCCAGGCAAAAAGGCAAGTTGTGTGGCCACATCACCGCATAGGGACCTCTCTATGATCCTGAGACACCTCATTAACGTAAGGCCAAAATGTTCTGAATTGGCTTTCATGTTAGATGTTTTCCTAGGTGGCCTGATTTCCAGAGATGCTGAGTATCTGCTGCATCATCTGAAGTCTCAAGTTGAGTACTCGCTGCTCTGCACTTCTGAAAAATCAAGCCACTTGTTTAGGTGCCTAAATCTAGACACTGAAGTTTGAAAACATATTGTGGCCTTTTTCCTGGGCCAGGGCTATTCAAATGGCTACATATGTGGGAGAAAACTTCTGTTGATTACTGGGATTTTTGTAAGTTTTGACTGAATTCAGTGGAAATTGAGTGCCTAACTCTTAGCCCCTTGGAAAATGCCTGCCAAATGACAGTTAGTGGTGATGATTTCTTACGAAGGTTGCTCAGTAGCTGGAGAGCAACAGAGCCTCTGAGGGTACATCGATAAAGGGATGTAAATTAGACGTATCGAAATTGTAAATGAAGTCGGGATTTGAATTTCCCGCGCTTCATTTACATAACCACAGTCCAGACAGGGATCTTTTGACAGAAATGCCCTATTTCAAATGATCCTGTAACCCTGAGGATTTTTTTTTCTGAAAAAAAGCCGTGGCCACCATTATGTAAATAGGGGTGGGAAATTCAAATCGTGGCTTCATTTACAATTTCGATACATCTAATTTACATCCCTTTATAGAAAAAGGGATGTAGTTTAGATGTACCCTGAGTTAACCCTTCAGCTTGTTGATTCAGCATGTGCCAGCCTATGCAGAAAATAGAGCCATACTGACTTGCAGGTAGTAGTAGTAGTAGTATAGTAGTAGTAGTAAAAAATAAATAAATAAATAAAAATGAATCCTTATTTCCCCATATGAGCAAACATCCATACTGTGTGAAGTACAAGGAACATTCACATTTAGGATTCTCTGTAGTGACTTCTTCACAGATTTCTTTGTGTCTCTTTTCCCCGCTTTCTTTATGTCCCTTTTTTATGTAGCTACATCCCTGGCTAACAAAGTTTGGGGAGGAACCACTGCCTCTCGAGGAGGAGCATTGCACTGTGGTGGAGGTGACTGAGGAGGAGGTGAAGAACTCTGTCAAGACCATCCCAAGCTTGCCAGCTGTTGTAAGTGTCAACAGGAGCTTTTCTAAGGTTTTATGTGCCAGGAAATGTATCACTTTCTTTGGGCCATCAGCCTGTGAAGCAGTCTCAACGTGAGGGATGGACAGCTTTCCAGGGTATGATGTGAGTGCTTTAGGCAGCCGTTCAAGTCAGGGGGAGTTGTTCATGCCTTCAAGCTATGAACTTACCTCAAAAGGTTTACTGGTTCCACAACATGTGGGTGGGGGGGGAGGGGAAGGAGGAGGCTGATCCATGTGAGCATTGATATCAAAGAGACTATTCAGATAATAGCTGGAGGGCCATGCTCCAAGTTGGCCTGCACCAGAGGAAGCTAATGATAAAAGAAATGCAAATGTGTGAAGACTGTTACCAGACCTGATGCCAGCTGGAAAAACTTAAAAAACAACACACAGTTTTGCAGCACCTTAAAGACTTGCAGAACATGTATCATGAGCCTTCGTGGGCACAACCAAGATGCTGCAAGACTATTTCTTGTTTTTCCAGTTACAGACTAACTCAGCTACCCCTCTGAAGCTGATGCCAGCTGAAGATCTGGCCAAAAAGATTGAAATGTTCTATTGCTGCTCTAAACACTAGATCAGAGGAACACAAAGATGACTTGTCCAAGGTCACAGAGCTGGAACTAAATCTTAAGAGTTCCTGGCTCCCAGTTCTGTGCTTAGGCAACCAGCCTGTTCCCTACCCTCTAATGAGTCAATAGACATTGATAATATTCATGCGACTATTGTTAGCAATGCTTTTCAAGCAGGATCTAACGTCAGTAGCCAAAGGATTGTCAGTTATCATCCAAACAAAAATCTAAGGCTATGTCTAGACTGTCTCCTCTTGCTCAAGAGAATATGCAAATGAGGCAAAGCAGTGAATATTGCCACGCTTCATTTGCATACTTAATGAGCCGCCATTTTGCTCAAGGGTTTTTTTGCGCAAAAAGGAGCCATGTAGACAGCTCCTTTTTGCACAAAAACACCTTGTGCGAAATGGTGGCTCATTAAGTATGCAAATGAGGCATGGCAATATTCACTGCTTTGACTCACTTGCATGTTCTCTTGCACAAGAGGGGCAGTCTAGATGTAGCCTAAGGGTATTATACAGATCCCTCTAGTTCAGTTTTTAACTGAGAAATGTCATTACCATTGTATGAAACTATTAACAAAGTCATATTTATATTCCTCTGCCTCATATTTAGAGCAGTAATATAAAGACGATGAAAACTCACCTATCTTCTCTGATCTGTTTTTTCTTCTTCAAAGATTTTAGTGAAGGCCATGCTAAGGAAACGCTCATTCGGAAATCCATTTGAGGCTCAGGTCAGAAGGGAAGAGAGGTCCATGTCTGCTCCAGGAAACCTATTAATGTATGTATATCTACCTGGCTTAGTGCTCATCCTGAGCCATTCATTAAGGCTATTTTAATGAACAAAATACAGTGGAGGAATAATGGAAACTGTTTTCAGGTAATTTCCTTAGAATGTAGAGGCAAAATTCATGTGGAAATACGTCGGTAGAGTTACACTGGGGATGAACAGGGCCTCAAGTGTCACTTCTGTGTGTGGATGCAGCGACTTTCATATTTCGGGCTGATATGAATACATCCTGGGGATACCTCCTGAGCTGGTATGAATGAGTGCAGCTCCATGGACTTGAGAGGAGTCCATATAGAGCAGCTCAGAATTGTAATCAGTTTGTTTATTGTTTAGAAGTAATCAAACATCAAGCTAGTAAAATGAAAGCTAATGAAATCCAGCTGGTTTCTTTAATGCTTATGTAAGTAGCCTCTGCTCTGCTGTGCATGAACTACAGAAGTAGGAACTTTGCCATAACCTATAGAGAACCAAAAGCCCATTGTAAATGTACCTCCTGATTAATTAGCTGTGGATAATGAACTGCACTCCTAATCCAGAAAGGAAACAGTTATTACAGTTAAGTTGGATTGAACCTGGCTAGCAATAGAAACACTTTTAGCTTTCTGACCTTATCAAAAATAGGTTTTAAGATCTTTTCTCCAGGGGACCAATCTTGTGAGGTGCTGAATGCCTCCTTTAGGAGTTCTGACCGTGCTCACATCCCATACGGATTGGCCTGTAGTGAGTGCAGAGAGGTACTATGCTCGCTAATGTCTGCTGCCATTCTCCTGAAGCTTGCAGATTTTCAGAGTCTACAAACTGACAGTTTCAATCCAGGCTGACAAGTGGGATGTCATGCAAGAGGCTGCTCTATAGGAAGTGATTTTTAGCTTCAGATACAGTCTTGGGGACACATCTGAAGAGCATTTCAAATGTGGATACTTCATCAGCTTAGCAAGAAGAGCTTATCTTCCCTTTATATAACTTTCAGACCATCATCTTTTTTCCTGTCACGGTAAGATATTGCTACTGTCAGCCATATCTTCACATAGTTCCTTGCCAGGGCGTCTCTGCTCTGTGATGTTGGGACTTAGCCATTCGGTATTTTTCTTTAGACTTGGTAATCACACTGTCCAGTGTATTTAACTCAGGAGAAGCCACAGGTGCACTTTTTAAAAATGATTTCTTAAGTGGCATATTATGTCTGAGAGTAATTAGTACCAAAGGTTTAAGAGGAAGATAGTGTAAGAAGCCCTTGAGTTGACAATGACAGAATAAACTACCAGTAGGAGTTTATTCCTGACCCCCTGTGGTTGCTTATGCCCTGAAACATGAAATATTTATCCAATCTGTCTGATGCTTTTGAATCGTATTACATCTCAGTGACAGATTGTATGTCTCTATTGTGCCCCTTTTATTTATCTTCTCTCTAAATTGAGCGATCCTAATCTTTTCAGTCTCTTCTTGCATGGAAGCTTTTGCTTGCTTATAATAATTTTCATCCACCATGTCCAGACTTAGTTTCCTTAATAGCCTCTTGTGTGGCACTGTGTGAAAGGCTTTTAGAAATAAATTATGTCAGCCAGTTCTCATTTATCTACTATTGTGTTGGCTTGCTCAAGGCACTTGATTTACTATAATGAGGCAGTTCACTGATTGAATCACAGCCAATTTGTGGTTGGCTTATGCCCCAAAGCAAGGAAGTGTGTATCTCTTCTTTTAAAAAAACAATGTATCCTATCTAACGGAACTTTTGCGTATGCAGGCGCTCAGCTGTACTGTCATCTTCACTTAATTGTACCCAGTCATTTCATATGATATCATGCAATCAGCATTTCTGGCCCCTTCCAGTAAAACGGCTAGACTACATTGTTTTCTGGAATACCAGAAGTATCCTGGAAGAACTGTTCTGTGTCCAGAGAACACGTTTGCTCTTCTGCTTTTTTTGCAGAAGAGCAAACGCACTCTTTCGGAAGCCCCTCTATTCCTCGTTCCACGAGGAATAAGGGAGCTTCCGAAAGAGGGTTTTTTTCCGACATTTGGCCCAGTCTAGATGAGCCAAGTGTCGCAAAAGCCTCTTCTGACAAAAGAATCGGAAAAATCTACGGAAAATGCAGAGCACATTTTGCATACCTTCTTTCCAAAACACCGGTGTAGTCTAGCCATACCCTAAGACTTGCAAAAATGGATCAACACAGGAATGTTTCTAATTAAATCAAGAGACATTGACACATCAGCCAGTATTTTTTACATACAGTGATGTATGTAACACTGTAAACAGATCATTTTAAAAATATGGATTTTCTTTTCATACTAGTTTAAAAGTTAGACCGGTGTACTCGAATGAAGGAGATTAAGTTTCTAATCTTTATCCATCTTTTGCTTCATTGCACTGAAGAAAATACAGAAAACAAGAGGCAAAGCTACTCTATTTCTGTGAAGTCTAAGTGGGAGTGCTCACTATATTAGGTGAATTACACCCTGATTCCACTGAGGTCATTTGCCAGGAGAAATGGTGCTAGCTACTAAACCCAGGCTTCATGCTAACCTTTCTTACTTTACAGTGCAAAGTGTAAAATCATCTCCAGTATAAAATAAAACCTGTTATAGATGATGCCGAGTTAATTAAAATAAATCTAGAACAAGAGTAAAGGATAACAAATGTCTATGAACTAACACTGTTAAATCACATGGCTACAGTATAAGGATTTGACATCGCAAAGTCTGGCCCCTTATCCTGCCAGGCATGTAAGCAAGCACTTAACTTTAAGGACATGAGTAATCTCATTGAAGTCATATATATCGTCATACTCAGTGTGCTTTAATTTAAGCATGAACTTAAATACTTTGCTGGGACATGGCCCGAGTGCTCAGCATCTAAAGCAATATTGTATATGCTGCTTCGGAATCTCACGTTCAGGGACAGTATCTGTTTTCAGGATGGTGGGATAGATTCTCAACTGGTTCAAACAGAGGTGAAAGGAAGCTGGTGCACCCCAGTGCGCCGAGCCAGCAATGAGCCAGCTGGCCAGGGTGCTCTGCTGCAGGGGAGGCACAGCCTATTCTCAGCCCCACTCCAGGGCTGTCCTGCAGACTTCCACGCTAAGCAGCAGGCAGCCGCACAAGTAAAAGGAGGTTCTTGGAGGTGCGCCAACCCACTAGTACAGGACAGCCTCAGTCAGGAGTGGCCCGAGGCCGGCTGCGGCAGCTGGCGCCTCCGGCAAAAGGCACGATTGGCTCCCCCACCTGCATGGCCGTCAATGGCCATGATGTAATCACGTCATCATCGGGCACCCGGGCCGGCGGCTAGTTTGCCTAGCCTCATGGGCCGCCCCGGCCTCAGTCCCAAGGTCCCTTCTGCCAGGGTGCCATTTAGGGAGGACAGGGAGGGCTAAAAGCCTGCCTCTTCCCCTTGCAGGAATTGAACTGCTGTTCCCCTTTGCATCGCCGTTAGGGAGCGAGGGGAACATGCACAGTTTGCTGCAGTCCTGTCCCACTGGCTGGGGAGGGCAGGGTGCAGGTGAGCTAGGCACTTTCCTCTTACTCTCTGACAGTGACAGGAAAGGGAAGAGCAAGCAGCGTCCAGGTACAAATCTCAGAGGGGCTTTGGCCCCTTCTGCCCTTCTCTGCACACCAACTCTCTGCCCTGAGCCCCTCCTGTCCCACCCACCCTGACTCCTGCACTCCCCACACCCTCAAGCCCCTGCTCTGAGCCTCTCACACCCCTTAGCCCTGACTTCTGCACCATCACATGCATCCTCACCCCCTGCCCTGAGCCCCCCACATCCCAATATTCCCCATTCCTTGCCTTGAGCCCCCTGCACTCCACCCCACACTTAAATTTCTTACAGGTACTGTTGTATTACAACCTCCCCACTCCACACACTCTCCTGCCCCGAGGGCCCCCAGGGGGGGTTGCGATACGACTGTACCTGTAAGAAATTTAAGTTACTTTCACTCCTGGGTGCAAATTGGAGCCACTGCCATTGACATCAGCTGAGTATCTGGCCCATTGAGGCTTTAAAGCAAGTACAGGTAATACACAACAGTAAGGACGAGACCGAGGGAAAGCCACAGAGACATGATACCGTAGGGTGGCTGAACTATCTGTTCTGTGCCCTGTACTATCTGCCACCTGTCATCCATATGTGCAGCACTGGCAGTGATACGGCTCTGTTATCCAGATGGCCCGAGTGCTGCTACGGATGTCTTGTCTTAACCCATATCCACATGAGCACTGGGTTTATAAGAAAAACAAAACATAACGCTTGCCTCTAACACAATTTGTACTAAGTATCCGGGGTAAGATTTATCTTAAAACGAGAGCTACTCCATATAATTAAGAATGGAGCTGTTCAAAGCCAGTTAGTCTGCTGACACGTAGCGGCTGTGGAGAAATACAAATCCTATTGGCAGAACCCAGGCTTGTTCTTCTAGTCTTGTGAGAAGTGGGATAGGACTGTAAAAGATAAGGCTTTACGTCTGCTGGAATGGGCAGTATCCTCAGCTTCACCGTTCACCCTGCAGCCGGGGAGTGGGTGTCCGACAGTGACTGAAGGGGAACAATTAATACCTCCTAGTGAATGACCCACATCAGTTCCTAGGAGCACACCAACTCCCATGGGACCCAATTCTGCTGTCCTCACTCACACAAAATTCCCATGAAATGGACATTGCAGCCTTAACGATTTGGCTCATATTCCTCAATAGGGATGTTAATTGAAAAGTCGATTAACCTCATGAATTCTTATCTATTAGTCAACTAGTCTATAGCCCGTGGGGGCGGAGCTGCTGTGCTCCAGCCCCACTCCCGAGGAGCCCCCTGCCACACCGCACTGCTGCCTCTGTATCAGGGGCGGCAGCACGGGATACCAGGCGGGAGCTGGTCTGTGAAGGGAGCCAGTTTAAAAACCAGCTCCCCTCACGGGGACCTGCCTGTCACTCCACTGCTGCCTCTGATACAGACACAACAGCGCGGGCTCCTGGACCTGGCACAAACCAGAACTGAGCCA